AAATACATTTGGAGGCGATATGTGGATTTTACTGGGACATGAATCTTCTCAGAGCTTCTCCTCTTCCTCATGAAGTTCTGATCTTCATCTCTTCCTGTGTCTGATATGTAGGCAATAAATCAATAATATTTATCCTTATAGAATTTAGATCATTATCAAAAGAATACTCAATAATTTCACTGAACTCTGATCCAGAGCCGCACGGCATTCTGGGGGATGTAGGCGGAGGAAAAGCCGAAACTACCTGGGCAGCTTCAACCAACTGGCTCTGTCTTCGGTTGCCTGGCAGCAACCCGCTGAGTAGCTTGCAGCAGTTTGAAGTTTTGCCATAATGTTTAAAAATAAACCAGGTTCTGAAACAGGAAGCTTCACGCCAACAGTTTCAGAATTTCAGATATTCAATAGAGAAAACGAATCAATAATTGATATCGGCAGAGGAAAGGTTTCAATACGTTCTTCAGCCTTGTGGTCTGATCATTTCTCCTCTGTGAGGCGTTTCTGCTGGACCAGCAGCTGGACGTCTTAATGCTCAGTGTGTTTCTGAGCTGCTGTTGTTTATCTCACCTTCACAGCTGCAGCTCGCCTGCTGCTCGCTTTATTATGTTTGCCTGCAGAAATCTGGTAACTGGAGAGCAGCGAAGTGACAGATGAAGTTGTCACTTGATTCTTGCTCTTTAATATCGCATGAGTGGCTCAGAAACAGGTTCCTGTTTCCCAGCCGTCCTCTGGTCCCGTTCCGTCTTTCCTCTCATCTGAAGCAAACCTGTGCAGAGCTGAGAGGATTGTTCAAGGTCGGCTGCAAAGTAAAAAACTCACTGAGAAGCGAAATGTCATCATTTCTGTTGTTCTCGTTTCCAGTCGGGCTGCTGAATCATCACAGCTGCGCTAACGACGCTGCGCTAGACGCTGCGCTAACGACGCTGCGCTAACGACGCTGGATGCAGGAACAACACATGGTCCAGTTCACACAGAACCAGTACTGAGCTAACTGGTCCATCCAGAACTGGTTCACTGAAGCTAATTAATACTTTAGAAATCGATCATTCTGACAATTTATCAAATTACAAAACCTCAACATTCTGCAGATTTTTCATTTAAATCATTTTGGTAGAAATACATTAAAAATGCAAATAATTAACTTTTCAAGCAAAACATTTTACTGCGAATAAACAGCTTTTGTTTATTAGACTCTTAAGGATGCAGCTCCAGTCAAATGACCTTTTTCTGAGTCTCCATTTTCCAGTTAGCAATCGATTATTGATCATCTCATCAATCAATTCATCACGATGAATCTGAAGAACCTTTCAGACATAATTATTGCATGTTTGGATGTAAATAAGGAGAGAAAAACTCGACTGCTGAAAATAAACCATGGGGATGTTTTAGGTCGACCTTTAATATCACGTTTGTTTCTGAATCGTCTGTTTTACAAACTATATAACTATATAAACCCACATCAACTTGTTTTTGCTGTTAAAATGTCTAAATATGTTTTTCAGGGTTCTGTCTTTCTGAGTTTTTATGTTGTTGGGTAAATTATAGTTCTGCAATATTTTCTTAGTGCTGATAATAAAACAATAAAATTGTAATATCATAACAACAAAGCCATAAATGTACCACAATACAGACTTCATTTTCCCCAATACCAAAAATAATCAATTAAAATGTTGAACATTTTGTGAAGTTAAGCGTTTGCAATGAATAAATGTTAAACAATTATTTCAAAGAACGAAGCAGAAAGACTGAACCTCAGATCTGAGTTACTTTCCAAACCTCTTTCTCATTAAAATCACTTTTTTCCCCTAATTTTAAGACTTTTATGCCGATATTGTGACTTTATTCTTGTAACTTAAAAAACATTTTTCTCTTAATGAATCCTTAGTATTAATATTTCATACCAAAATCCTGCAGTTGATGTAGAAATGTATCTTTTGTTGTTTTTCAGGCGTTGTCTTTCATAATGTTCTTCCCCTCCTGGTGGTTTTTGTCTTAATTTGACGCCACACAGGAAGCTGCCTGGATGAAATGTGATGTCACTTCCTGAGGGACTCGTCCAGAGGTGATAAGGTCAGGGTTTGGGTATCATCTCTGTGGTTGCTTTTATTTTCAAACTGGACTGAACGCAGCTGTGACGAGCTGCAGCCGTAACAAAATGGCCGCCTCTGCAGAGGTCAGGCAAATTTCAGGCAGCCCTGATGGAGCCTACTTGTCAGCGGGAGGAGCATCAACGAGGGGAATAAATGAAAACGTCTCAGATTAATAAGGCGGCCTGGCAGAGGAAACAATCCAGGGAAGATTGAGGAGCAGAGGAGTAAAGGTTAACAGCTCAGTCTGATTTATTGAAGCAGAAACTCTGGAACCTTTAAACCTTCGAATCGATCGCAGTTTCTAAACTAAATATTCCCCGGTTGGTTCGTCTGGAGAAATCTGTTCGGATCTGGTCCGTTTTTCACTCAGTGGGCAGCAGAACCGACAGCGGCGCATAAAGCAATAAATCCACCTTAACACAGAAATCACCTGCAGGAATCCACAACCACAACTTAAAATCAACTATAAATCTGTTAATATGAGCAAAGTTAAATATATTCAGACACAGCTGGAAATGTTTTCTGTTCTCCTGCCACCAGAATAGTTTGAAGGCAGTTTTAATAATTCAGACGCTGTTTTTGTTTTGTCGTCTTTCATAGAAAAATGAAAGACGTGTAAATAATTTCCTAATTCATCAGTGGGGTGCTAATAAGGCTCTCCTTCCAGAGCGCTAATCCGCCCGGGGCGGCATGCTGTGCAGCTGCTCTGATCTGTTCAGTCCCTCCAGTTTTTAGCTTAAAATTCAGGTTTTTTTTTAATGCTAATCCATAATTGTAACTTTGCTGCAAATTTTCTGTAAAATGGTCAAAATCGTTGAGTTTTTGGCCATTTTAAAAACTCTGAGCTGTTTAAGTTAATAAAAATGTTGAATCTTCTCTGGTTCTGTTTGGACCAGCAGTGGTCGGTTGGGATGTGATGCGTTCACTGACTCTTTCATCACCGTAGTTTAGATTTACAGTCTGGATTCTGCTGCGGAGTTTTGACTCATGCTGGAGAAAATGCGACGTTCCGACTGCAGGCGCTTTGAAAACTACCAGATATGATTTAGTTTCACATGTGGAAGAGGAACAGGTTGGATTTTTATTTGGTGAAAAGGTCAGAATCAGTCCGTTTCTGCTGCAGTGAGAACATTTGCGTAGGCAAACAGCAGGCTGGCTGTACCTAATAAGGAGGCAGTGAATATATTTTTCATCCAAAGTTCCCAGACCAGATGCCAGAACAAGAGTGAAAATCCTTCGGAGGTGGAGCGTTAAGCAACGTCCTTCATCCTGGTTTGGATGAAATGTGACGTAACCTGATGTTGTTTAAGAATACAAACAGATTAATGTCAGCATCCTGCAGCCATGTGTTGGTCTGCAGAGCCGCAACAACAGCAGCGTCACATTGAGACGAGCAAACGGCACAGAGGACGCGAGCAGGAGGTGTGAAGAGACGTCTGTTTTACAGAGTGATGGAGGACAGCGGGCGACCGCAGAGCAAACAGAATGAGCGATGGAGAGGTGGCAATAAACAGAGGGGAGACGGAGGAGAAAAAGACAAATGCAGACTGAATGCAATGACAAAAGGATGGGAAGATGGAGGAGGGATGAGAGGAGGATCTGGGAAAAAAGACTTCAAACTGCAGATTTTTATTAATATTTCATTTACACAACAAACTTGCACTAAAAGATACAATAGATCAGATCTTTGATCATTTTCTGATCCATTGGTCTGCAGGGCGGCTCCGTGTCTCTGACCCGGTTCTTCATGGACCGGACCTGTGTGGCCCCTGAGTGGCCCCTGAGTGGCCCTGCGTCGCCCCTGTGTGGCCCCTGAGTGGCCCCTGTGTGGCCCCTGAGTGGCCCCTGAGTGGCCCTGCGTCGCCCCTGTGTGGCCCCTGAGTGGCCCATGAGTGACCCATGAGTGGCCCATGAGTGGCCCCTGTGTGGCCCCTGAGTGGCCCATGAGTGGCCCCTGAGTGGCCCATGAGTGGCCCCTGTGTGGCCCCTGTGTGGCCCCTGAGTGGCCCCTGTGTGGCCCCTGAGTGGCCCATGAGTGGCCCCTGAGTGGCCCCTGTGTGGCCCCTGAGTGGCCCCTGTGTGGCCCCTGAGTGGCCCATGAGTGGCCCATGAGTGGCCCATGAGTGGCCCCTGAGTGGCCCCTGTGTGGCCCATGAGTGGCCCCTGTGTGGCCCCTGAGTGGCCCATGAGTGGCCCCTGAGTGGCCCATGAGTGGCCCCTGAGTGGCCCCTGAGTGGCCCCTGTGTGGCCCCTGAGTGGCCCCTGAGTGGCCCCTGTGTGGCCCCTGAGTGGCCCCTGTGTGGCACCTGAGTGGCCCCTGTGTGGCCCCTGAGTGGCCCCTGTGTGGCCCCTGAGCAGCATCACCCCGTTGCGCCTTGCCTGAATGTGTTTTAACAGGTGCATGTGGCTCCAGTTAACTGGTACATATAAAGAAAAGCCGCCTGCTGAAAATAGCAACACATTCAGAGCAATAAGCCAAAGCTGTACAAAATACAACAGCATCTAAAAATAAACTTTTACCAAATTTTTACCAAACTGGTGAAATCAGGTTGCAGCAGCGAAGCTTTGTGACCAAGTGCAACAATAAATGCAAACCTAGAAACTAGTTTGATGCTGCAAAGCCTGAAATTTTTCATAACTGATGGATTTTATTATTTTGTTGCAGTCGGAGGAAACCCGGCTGGGTTTGCTGCAGCTTCCACAAACGCCTGCATTGATCTCTGAAGTCTTCTCAATTAAATAAATGACGGATTGTGTGGGTGTGATGTCGCTCAGTGCAGCTGCAGAGCTTTGGTAACTCATGATTTATTAATGGATGATTATCTGACCTCAGGACTTTTGTCTTCCTGTCCCCCATCCGTCTTCCTCGCTGTCGTCCCTGGCTCCCCTCCTCTTCCATCTCTGGATCCTCAGGGCGAATGTTCCTCCAAATGCTACAACATGTTCATCATCGAGACGGTGTGTGTGGCCTGGTTCTCCCTGGAGTTTGTGCTGCGCTTCGTCCAGGCCCGCAGCAAGCTGGACTTCCTGCGCGGGCCGCTCAACATCATCGACGCCATGGCCATCCTGCCCTACTACGTTTCCCTGGTGGTGAGCGAGGAGGACCAGAACCGGGAGTCGGACCGGCCCGGTGGAGGTGAGACGGGTCAGGAAAACAACCCAGCAGGAAACAACAGCCGTAATTGGTTCATTTAGCTTTTCTGCAAAAAACATGTTTATTTTTCAAAGGCACATTTTCACCATTTATAAAAGTTCAATTAATAACCTAAATATTTAACTTTCAATTAAATATTGAGTAAGGAAGCTAAATATTTAGTTTGCCAACTAATATGTGGTTTTCTAACTAAAAATTTAATGAACAAGCTAAATGTTTATTTATTCTGGGAACTAAATATTTAGATTGAAATATTTAGCTTTCAATCTAAATATTTCAATCTAAATATTTAGCTCAGACTCAATCATTTATTTACATATTTATAAATGTAAGAATGTAAATATGACTTTGGGATGATAAATATTTCGTTTGTAAACTAAATATTTAGCATTTTAAATATGTTGTCATTTCTAAAAGTTTGAATTAAATGGTGAAAATCTGATTTTCACTCCCGTTTTCCTCTCTGCTGGACTAAATAACTGTTGGTGATGTTGGTTCTCCCTGCTGCCTCAGGTAAGGGCTACCTGGACAAGCTGGGGCTGGTGCTGCGGATCCTGCGCGCGCTGCGGATCCTGTACGTCATGCGGCTCGCGCGCCACTCGCTCGGCCTGCAGGTTCTGGGTCTGACGGTGCGCCGCAGCACGCGGGAGTTCGGCCTGCTGCTGCTCTTCCTCTGCGTCGCCGTCACGCTCTTCTCCCCGCTGGTCCACCTGGCCGAGAGCGAGCTCACCGGCCCGCACGACTTCAGCAGCATCCCCGCCTCCTACTGGTGGGCCATCATCTCCATGACGACGGTGGGGTACGGCGACATGGTGCCGCGCTCCATCCCCGGCCAGGTGGTGGCGCTGAGCAGCATCCTGAGCGGGATTCTGATCATGGCGTTCCCCGCCACCTCCATCTTCCACATGTTCTCGCGCTCCTACCAGGAGCTGAAGATGGAGCACGACCGGCTCTTCAAGGAGGAGGTGGCGGCTGCAGCGGCCGCCGCTGCCACGGGGGGCGCTGCGGAGCCGCAGCGGGAGGAGCAGGCGGCGAGGGCGCCCCCTGCTGGGCCTCCGGGCCAAACCAAGGAGCTCTGCATGGAGGCGCTGCTCCAGGAGGCCAACAACCACAGTCTTCCACCTGCGGCTTTCTGAAGGTTCTTTAAAGCTGCAGTTTGCAGCTTTAATAAAAATACATGTTTGGGCTTTGATATATTTCATAAAACTGTCTCCATGTTGCGACAGTTGTTGCGTTTCTATTTCAAATGTGAGAAATCTTTGTCTATATTTTGCTCATGTCGAAAAGATACAATTTCATTATTTTTGTTTTCATTGAAGCTGCAATTTGTAACTTTTACATAAAATATCATTTTATTTGTTGAAATTGTCAGCATGTTGTGACCATATCAGACAGATAATCTGTGAAATAATGAAGTTCCTCTGTTTTCTACCAACTAGAAACAACCAATCAGAGCCAGGAGGCGGGTCTTACTGCTGTCAATCACAGTCATGTCACCAGATCCTGACATGAATGCTAATGCTAGTTAGCTTAGCCATCAATGATAATGATGGTGCTGGAACTGCAAGTTGTTTCGGCATTAGCACATTTGGCATTGATTGGCAGCGCTAAGCCCCTCCTCCAAGCTCTGATTGGTTGTTTTTGAACAAAAAATCAGTCTGTTCAGATTATCGGTCTCATAAACTGTCATGACATGGAGACAACTTTGACAAATTAAAAAACATTTCTTTATAAAAAAATCATATGCTGCAGCTTTATATGAGAAATTAAATTCAAATCATCCACGAATAAATTTGTTCATTCAATAAGTCGTTAATGGCAGCGACGGATGTCATAATTCAGCTGCTAGCGCTCATCATCTATCAGCCAATCAGAGGAGATGTTGGCGTTTTACTCAGCAACAAGCCCCGCCTTCTCGGGAGCGGCTACTTATGCGGCGTTTTGGAAAAATTGAAGTCGGCCATTTTACAGGAGAATTATGGATTGAACATGTTGGAACGACTCAACTTTTTATGAACGGATGTTGTGATGCTCTAGTGGAGCCGGCTGCACCAAAACAAACAAAGAAAACCACTTCCTGTTGTCTTCTTTGGCGTTTCTAACAGTAGTAACATCCGGCTGTGGTTCATGTTTTGATACGGCTCAATAGCACATCATCCCAGTGCAAAAGCCTTTCAGTAAAAACTAGCCTTAGCATATATGGCTACGTTGTAACATAGCAATGCGAAAGCCCCAAGTTGTGAGCATGAGCATGATTGACAGCACTAAGACCCGCTCCCTGTCTTTGGTTGTTTCTGATAAGCAGGACCAACTTTTTCTTTTGTTCACAGATTATCTGCCTTTTATAATCTGACAGTTTTAACAAATATGTGAAGAATGTATTTTTAATAAAAGTTACAACTGCAGCTTTAAAACACAGCAATTACCAAGGGACTAATACCCAAAAGCCTGACTGCCCAGTTCTGGCATTCACATTATTTTGGATACAAATAAAAGTTTTTCTTTTTTCTTTGTATTTCTGGTTTTTGATGCTTTTACTGGTGAAGAGAGACTGTAAAAAGAATCGACCCTTTAAACTGGATGCTTCCTGTGAGACCTGAAGGCCTCTGCAGCAACATTCCAAACACGCTGCTTCCATTAACCTGCAATATTAAACCCAAAGTCGCTTCTCCTTCCACTGTGAACTGACTGCAGGAGTTTTCATTCTGTTCAATGTGCTGCATAAAGTATGAACTAAAACTGTTTCACACTCAGCCCTCCTGCCATGAATACAAAGAAGTTCAGCTCGTAGTTTATACATGAGAAGCTTGAAGCCATGTTCTGAGCAGAGATGATGAAACATTATAACCCAATGTAACATATATCTGTTCTCTGTTTATCTGATAGATCTAATAAATAACTGATGGAAACGGCTAGGTTCAGTTTGGACAGTTACACTGTAAAAAGTTAACAGCAACAGTTTAGTGTATGTACAGAAAACAGCTAATTTATAAATGTCATAGATCCAAACAAAAGATATGATTCACCATTTAGCTCATAAATTACATGTTAAGTTTGGAATTATATATTTATAAATGAATGAACAACATGATGAAAATATAAATTTGAAAAATGAACACTCATTTTTTATGACAGACTATTTAAATCAAAACATTGCTGTAAATTTTATTGTGTAACTTTACAATCAGCGCCCCCTAGTGTTGTTTTGTTTCTGCTTTTTTGTCACACTTAAATGTTTCAGATCGTCAAAACATTTATGTTGAAGATGAGATAAAACGTTTGCTTGGCTGCAGGTGAGCCGTCAGTTTGTCGTTAACGAACAATCTGAATATTTTTATCTTCATCCTAATCGATGCGACTCGATCCGGTTAGTGAGAACAGTTCTTTGTTCTTTATGAGTTCATTTGTTTTTAAGCTGCTCACTTTTTGTTACATTTTGTTTCCATGTTAAAATGTCACTAAAGCTCAACCTTTGTGAAAAACTGCATGATATCTGATGTTTCTGATTGAGGTTTGTTTTCTGTAGGTCCGTTTTTTACAGTAATTGATTCAAAAGACATTTATTTGGGATAAAATGGCTTTTAAAAACGGATCATTTGAAGTGAACGGTTCGGATCCCAGAAGTCCGGCCGCTATCGGTACCTTCCAGAACCATTTTCATCTGAACCGTCCAGAGAATATTTGGAAAATGTGAGACAGGCCTGTGGGTCGTTTGGGTCAGCAGTGGTTCTGGTTCTGGTTCTGTTTTTCTGGGTGAGTTGTTAATGACTTCTTGCTGTTTGAGATTATCAAACCTACTTTGTGTTGTTATTCATTTCAACCAAATATCTATAGATTTTATTATATAAAACAATGTATTAGAAAAGTATTCACCTTTTTTTCTTAGAGGTACTGAGTGGAACCTTAGGATCTGTGCGTTTCTGGTACGCCCGTATATCTGGGGCACAGGCTAAATCCGCTAACAATGATGGATGACAAAGCCGCTTCTACAAACCATCTGATTAGATGCTGGAAATGATTTTAAATGAAAAATGTGGCTTATATTTTTCTGATTAATTAATTGGAGACAGCCTTTCAGCTGATTAAACGTTTTAATGTTTTCCCTAAACTATTGTCTCGGTCAGACTGTAATCCCGCCTGGCTCAGGCGGGTGAAACGAAGTTATTTTTAGTTAATTTATGAATGAAAAGGAGCAGATTAGTTCTGATTGCTTTTCTCTTAATTAAACCGTTTTTTTCTGTCTGGTGTTAAAATGTGATGATCTCAAACACTGAAGTGTGACTGAGAAGGAAACTCAAAGCAATCTGTGAGCACTAAGTAGTTTTCCAGAGCTCTGTTCTGCAGGATGATCCCTACTGTAATTTTGTAATTAGGGATTAAAAGGATGGAGATGAAAAGGGGAGTTTTTGTTTCAGACAAGGAGCGTGCATGAGTGCGAAGAACTGTGAAATGTACTTTGCGATGCTCCAAATAAAAGCTCTCCTGATAATCTGAAAGAAATCTGTTTTCTGGGTTCTGGTTGTTTTGGTTTCTCTGAGTTTGGAGGTTTAATCTTTTGGCTCGCCGCCGATGCTCCGTCACATTCCTTCAGCTGGAAATGAAGAACTTGAAGCAGCTGGCATGCTGGGAGTTCAGCGGGCCGCAGGCCGCCGTCTCCAGGGTTTATGGGGAGCTTTCTGTGCCCTGCAGCCCAGCAGGGGGTCCGGTTCGACCCACCGCTGCCTTCAGGCTGATCAAATGATTCTCCGGAGCGGTGCAGAGTAGGAAGGCAGCAGGGATATGTAGGGACATGCCAGATGTGGCTGTAATCTAGATTAAAGTTGGGATTATAACCCTCACATGCTCAGGTTTTAGCCTGAAACTCGGCTTCATGCGTTTGTTTTGACGTCTAAGTGACTTGGGTCCAAACACTGCGGTGTTGGGTTTCATTGGCTGAGCTGTGATGGGATTACTGGGAGCAGTGGTGCAGCAGCTAGCATATGGCGCAGTGACGTAATTCTTCTTTTCATGATCAAATGTGATGGATTATAGACTGAGAGTCGGTCTTCATGCTGGACAGTTGAACTATGAAGACTTTATTTTGTTGAAGCTGTCACCATGTTGTGATGTTTGAGAGATAATCTGTGAAAAAATGGAGCTCCTCTGTTGTGTCCCAGCCAACCAATCAGACTCAGGAGGCGGGTCTTAGCGTTGTCAGTCACCATTTCATGTGGCGCTGCTAACTTTTTCCCGTCAGCCAATCCTGACCGCTAAGGCTAGTTAGCATAGCCACAGATAAATGGTTTTCCTCTTCCATTAGCACATTTAGCAGCATGAACATGACGTTGATTGACAACGTTACGACCCTCCTCTTGGTTCTGATTGGTTGGGTTTGACGGGGCGTGGTTCATTTCCTGGTGACAGTTTTAGCACATATGTACAAATCATATCTTTATATTTTTAAAATAGAAGTTAGAACTTTAATAATAGATGTTCTGTGGTTAATGTAGTTCTACAGTCACACCAACAGGGGGCAGTAACAAGCAGGCTTTGTAAAACTGCAGCAAGTTCTCTATTTATTGATGGTGACGGTCATTTTTTTGAGCCTTTTGTTTTAAAAAAGTAAATAAACACTGTTATTAAATAATTTATAAAAACATGAAATAAATGTCTCCATGAAAGAAAATAAAATCAGCTTCACAAAATAATGTGAAGCTGATTTGATTCAAATTCGTGTATGTTTCAGTTTGAATTTAAACTATAATAAGCGTATTATTTTATATTAAAACTGTCCAGATAAAGCGGCAGTTTCTGCTGGATTTCCAGCTGTTTCAGTTTTTCCAGCAGGTCCGACGCGACTCGGCTGAAACGACGGCTCCACTTCCCGACCAGAAACCGCCCACGTCCTTCTGGAACTTCAGCACAGATTTCTTCAAGTTGGTATTTATTTTTCTTTTCAAACTGTTTCTGTAATTTAAATGCCTGCTGAGCTGAAGCTGTGAAGTCGAGTCATTTATCAGTCAAACATGGCTGCACACATTTCAGCTTCCTGTTTATTGCAGCCGTTAAAACGGATCAATCCAGAGTTTAGGAACTTTTTCCTCTTTCAAGGTGAATGTCTCACATATTCAGCTTAGTGCTGCTGCTGCACGCCCACACATTTATGATGGTGATGTTTAGGTGGGAGGATTTCCTGCTCATCCTGTCTGCAGGTCAGAGGTCACAGCATCATCCTGTCTGGAGGTCAGAGGTCACAGCATAAATACATAGTTCCTGTAATGTGGGTGTAGGAAGGCCCTCTGATGAAGGAGACAAACTTGGACATGTTTGTCGTTTTCAGAGCGTTCATGTGGTGAAGAGCCGAGCAAACATAAATCTGCAGCTGCACTGATTGGCTAAAAGCTCCGGCGTCCCCCAGGGCCGTGTCCTCGCCCCACTTCTGTTCTCACTGAAGCCAAATCAAATTCAAGTCTAAATATAGTGGATGATGGGGAATCCTGACAAAAGCTGAACATTTTTCAACTTGCATGTGTCGAGTTGTTAGCCTGTGTGTGGAAGTTAAAACTCTGCATGAATGTCATCACTTGCTAAGCAACGGAGGAGAGATCTGAAGCCTAAATCTCCATCTACTCTCCATAACCTGTGTCTGCCTCACCACTCAACTACCACAAATCATGACATTTACTCTTCCTTAAGTTTTAGCATCTCAATGATCTTGTTTTTCGTTTGTCCTTTCTATTTTGAATGCTTGTTGTTTTCTTGGTGTTTTTAAAGTGCTTTATGAAAAACGGTGGTACTTATGGAAGATCATCAAGGCTGACTTTCTCTCCATAAAACTTCTTTGAGTGTCCTAAAATAGTCTATCTATATGAAAGGGGAGCTAACATTTCTGCAGACCCCACATATGCTGAACATGAACTGTTCAGACTTGAGAAAAAAGGCAGCGTTTAGCAGCATGGTATGTGATCATCAGAATTATTATAATTTACTAAAACTAATGAAAGAAAAAAAACTGAAATTGAGAAAATATTTTCGAGTGAAATAAATAATTTAACCAACTGGAAGCAAACCGGGCATTTATAAAGCTAATTTCTGACAACGATTTCTCCTGTTGAGTATTCTATGTAATACTTTGTGCTTTTTTAATTCTGCACCTAAAAATTAGCCTTTAGTATGAAAAAACTAAACCACAACCAAACAATATTTACCTAATAAAAACTATTAAACAAACTCTAAAAACTAAAACTAACTGAATTAGACAGAAAGTTACAAAGCAATATCATGAAAAACCCAAAGTTATTACAACCCAGGTGTTTAAAATATTCCCAATTAGTGCCACTGTGATAGAGGGTTGATATAAATAGGAGACAGAAAGACCTGCTGCTTTTCTGGACATTTAGGAACAAAGTGAAGTTTGGTTTGTGCTGCCTCAGTAGGAGCAGCTCGCTCCTGCGCAGTGTGTGTCGCTGCGGCATACTAATCAGGGAAGGCTGTGTCATCTTATCCAGCCTAATGAGCATCAACACTGCTTTATTCTCCTCCCTGCTAGGCTTTGTCCACGCCGTTTCAGATTTCAACACAAGGTCACAATGATGGGGAAACATCCGAAATGTGAATCTTCACCCAGATTTTAGAGCTTTAGTGTAAGCATACTGTGGAAGTGTGTTGAGTAATCTGTTTTTTGTCTGTAATTACTCTTTGAAGTGCTGCCAGTCTGCAACAATCTGATGTCCCAGGAGGACGAGAAGCAGCTTTATGCTCAACGTTTAAAATTCACAGCCAGCTCTTCTTTCATCCCGTCTGGCTGGTGGCGGTTCATCAGCAGCAGCTCAGTCTGATCTGAAAGATTCACAGTGAGTCCAGGCCTCGACGTTAAGGGTCCTTCAGCCCTGACCCCATGACCCCTGGAGAGAGTCGGCGAAAGCACCTGAAGGGAAACGTGACGAAGAGCAGCTGCTTCGTTCCTCCTCAAGCTTTTCTCCTGCTGCTGTTCCAGTTAATATCAGATGAAACACTGATCCTCAGCAAAATGCAGCTTCAGTGCCGACTCTTATACTGGGAGTATGGCTCTACACACTAGGAGGCATCACCTGGGGGAGGCTTCACCTGGGGGAGGCGTCACCTGGGGGAGGCGTCACCTGGGGGAGGCATCACCTGGGAGAGGCGTCACCTGGGGGAGGCATCACCTGGGAGAGGCGTCACCTGGGGGAGGTATCACCTGGGGGAGGTATCACCTGGGGAGGTATCACCTGGGGGAGGCTTCACCTGGGGGAGGCGTCACCTGGGGGAGGCATCACCTGGGGGAGGTATCACCTGTATCACCTGGGGGAGGCATCACCTGGGGGAGGCATTAGTGAAACGGCATCAATTAGACCCAAACAAGCAAATCTGGTCAGCAGGAAGGAAATCCAGAATGTGGTTGCTAATGATACTGAAGTTTATTCTAATGAGAATAATTAGAATTGACTCAAATGCAATCATTGAGTTTAATTTAAAATATGTACAAAAATGATTTTGTTGTAGAACAAAACTCTAGCATCAAACAGATTGATTTTTTTGTTAATTCTTAACATTTCTAATATACAACAAATCCTGTTTTCTCCATTTGAGTCAAACTCCGGTTTGGGGAGGTCTGAACGCTAATCGAACCAACGGAGTGAATTCAGTTGGGTTTGGTTGAACTGAACTGCAGCTCAGTTTGAATGCATGTGAATGCCAAGCGGACTGGAGACCGCTCCAAAAGCAGGAAGTGAACTACAGAGCAGGGCATTCTGGGTAAATACAAACAAAGCAATGAACTAGCCAAGTGCTAGCGGGAGAAATGGCTGGTGTTTCTTACCTCCAACCACTAAAATCTGATGCTGCTCCATTTTAGTTTACATTGCAGTCAAATATTCGCAATAATTAGTCTGAAGCTAATATTTAGTTAAACGTTTGAAGATAAATACTTGCTAAATAAATATTTAATATTCTGATGATAAGTTATTATGGTGCTAATTGGTGATATTTAAATCATTTAAATTCCTGCATGTGGTTTTACAGGTGCAAACGATTTCCCCTCGTCTCATGTTTCATGGTTTTATGTTTCATGGTCTCATGTTTCATGGTTTCATGTTTCATGGTTTCATG